ATGAATTGAGGTTATCAGCTGGGAATTGGTTGTGAAAGAGAGGTTTGAGAAGGGGTGTGAAAATGTGGTCTGGAGCATGGGGAAAAGAATACATTAGAGAATATCCTCAGGCAGAATTTCCTGAATGCCATTTGCAATTTGTCATCATGAATGTGAAATAAGACAAGCCATTATAGTGGTATTTGGGTGTGTTTCCTCCAACAAATGTCAAACCTAACCTCACCCTGCTACGCCCTCCAACTCCTGTCCCTACTTTAACTTGGCTTCATCTGTTAGTCTTGCTGGATGCCAGGGCTGTGGGAAACCTGTGTTGCTCCTCCAAGTCTATATCTGATGCTCTCCTTGGTCTCCGTTACCTCTGTTATAATCACACTGTAATTCACTTACTTACCAGCAGAGCATAAAGTCATTGGAGGCAAGGACTTTCTTATCTATGTTGTTCAAGTTCTACCCCAACTTTAACATAGCACTTAGCATACAGTAGGTGCTGAACATATATGAATTGAATAAAAGAAATATGGCCCACAGGGCAAATGCCAATGTCTCCAATTTATACATTAGCATCAAGACCATTTCCATTGAATGTTATTTTAAAAGAATTCTTACCTATTTATTACCAAAACACTAACAACTTTCTTGAGACTTATAGTTCAGATCCTCTTGCTGCAGTTTCCAAAGTCACTGTGTATGATAGTGTACAAGTCAACTTCATTTTATTAAGTTTTGCCAAATAAACAAATAAAACAAACAACAGTGTGGTGGTCATCTGAAGGAAAGGGAGTGGAAGGAGGTAGTAAAAGGTAAAGGGATCAAATATATGGTTATAGAAGGAGATTTGACTCTGGGTGGTAAGCAAATAATGCAATAAATATACAATTGTACACTTTAAATCTGTATAATTTTATTAACCAATATCACCCCAATAAATTTAATTTTAAAAAGAGGTTTGCATTTTAGTTGATTTCCTTTCCTCAATTCTATCCTCTAAAAATGGTGATTAAGGAAGATTTTTACCATATAGTGGCAATGGTAAAAGGAGAAAAATAAGCACCAAAACTTGTATTTAAATGTGTAGTAGAAATGCACATCACATTTTACCTACTAAGTAGTTTTTCTTTTTCAAGTTAGAAACCAACAAGTTTAAGAAAAAACATACTTCATATTCCCCACATATTTAAATATATGTAAGAATGATTAGGAATATTTTGAGAAGACCTAACTTAGATTTAAAGTTAGTTTTCATACAAATAATAAATTTAGCACACAGCCAATAGGGTTATTCACCTCTCTGTTATTAAATAACAGACGTTTTTCCTTTGATTGTAAGTCATCAGAGGGACTTGTCCAATCAACAAGTATTGTGACATTTTACAAAGACGCAAGAATGCATGTAGTAGCTTACATGATCTTCACAACACCCAACAATCTTGAGATGTATATATATATTGATTTTTATAGGAAAGGGGGAGGGAGAAATAGAAACATCAGTGATGAGAGAGAATCATTGATCGGCTACCTCCTGCATTGCCCACACTGTGGATCAAGCCCATAACCCTGGCATGTGCCCTGACTGGGAATCAAATGTGCCCTCCTAATTCATAGATCAATGCTAAACCACTAAGCAACACTGGTGAGCTTATCTCCAATATAAGTAAAATATAAGTAAACAAAGCTTAGATAAGTTAAGTAAAGGTCATACAAATCACAGAACTCATAAAGAACAGAGTGTATGAATTTAAATCAAGACTGATGGGGCTCCAAAATGGGTTTTCTGTCAAGAAAGCAATGTGACAAGTCCCTTATCATAAAGCCCTTATGAAGGCTAAAGTCTTTTCCAGTTCTAATATTGAATAATTTCTAAAGAAACAAAGTTTCTCACTGCACATATTCTCTTCTGGGGTTATCAGTCTCACTAGTGGCTGGGAGATACTTCAGAGTCTTCTCAGTGTCTCTTCTCTTCTCCTGATGTGCACATGTGGACACAAGCTTTACACATAGTGACTCAAAGGGTAACATTTCTCTGAGCAGTAATACTGCTTCCATTTATTTTACTAATAGAGGCCCAGTGCACAAAATTCATGCATGGGGGGGGGGGTGTATCCTCATCCCAGTCTGCACCATCTCCAACCTGGGACCACTGGGATTGGGCCCAAACTGACACTTAGACATCCCTTTCAAAATCTGGGACCACTGGATCCTAATTGTTCACCTGCCTGCCTGCCTGATCACCCCTAATTGCCCTCCCTCCCCACGCCAGCCTGATCACCCCTAACTACTTCTGCCTGCCTGCTTGATCACCCCTAACTCCCCTCCACTGGCCTGGTCACCCCTTACTGCTCTCCCACCCCTGCCACCGGCCTGATCAACCCCAACTGCCCCATGCAGCCTGCTGTTTGGTCATCTGTCCGGTTGTTTCAGTCATGATGGCCCCTAACTTTTTATATATTAGGATTGGAATCTCTGCTGTATAAAGCAGGAGGATTAAAAAAAATGATCAGGACAAATAAATGTTTTATAGATGCTTGTGAAATGGGTGTAATATGAATGTATTTGTACATGAAACATAAATTTACACTACGTTTTCATTAAAGTTTTTAGTTTCTAGTTATTGGATTATGTACTTGTTGGAAAAGTAAATATTTACTTCAGTTCTGTATAATGCTGAGTTCACGCTTGCCATTAGTTTAATAATTGTATTATGACCATTGAGTTTAACTCTGTAATTGACAATGCACATTATCAGCCAGATGAACATGCAACATATGGCATGATATGCACCACTTAATTACGGAAGGCATATGCAATAACATTATTTAACATAGTGCATTATTTAACAAGAGTTCATTATAAAAATGAACTCTTTTCACAGATGAAGAAACAAGGCACAGAGAGGTCAGTGACTTGTCCAACCAAGTTCAAAATGCTAATAAGTGGCACCTGGAAAATACTTTGAGAGTGCATGAATATCACAAGCTTTCTAACACTGGCATGGCATGTTATCACCTATCAGAAACATGATCAAAGAACACTATACAGTCTTGAAGATGAGTAACATATCCTTGGCTCCAGGAGCACCCAGTGCATCATGTATATGAGAATTCGAAGTCTGGGTTGGAAAAGAGTGACTAAAGGAAATTATAAGGAACCGTGTGCAAGGGATATTGTACAGCAGTGAAAAGAACACTGAGCTGAGAGATAGCAGCCAGTGGAAGTTCATCTGTAAAACAGGAACTTGGACTGGATGACTGGCAGGGATACTCTGTCCTTGCCCTGACAGATGTCCTCTGGCTCTGCCCTAGGAGGCTGGCCAGCTGCCTTATATCCAGGTGCTCCCTTACCCTTTAACTTCTGCTTGGTTCTGCCAATGAGGAGGACCCATGGCAAAGACAGGAGGGGTAGGGGAAAGAAAGTTAGGGATTCCACTTGGACATCCCTGTAAGGTCCCAAAGATTGTAGATCCTCTCAAGGCCTCTTGCATTCTATGATTCTCCCCCTGCACAGGGTGGTGTTCTCCAGGCCTGCACCCATGGGTGCAGTCCTCCTATGCCTTGCTCACATCTGTGGTATCAGGACTTTTGCAAATGAACCCCCCTCTGGGTTATCCCAAGTCAAACGCCGCTGGAACTCTGCTGATACTGCAAGAGTCCTCCCAGCTGTCATTGCACACATGCTTATTTGTGAACTACTGAACTTGGTTTTCTTATTCTTTCTCCAAAGTAACGACTCCTGGCTTTTACAAGTGAAGTTCAGATGGTGCGAAACTTAGCAGAAGAAAGAATTCTGAGTTCATTCCCTTTTCTTAAAAGTAAGGACATCCACTAACCCCAAGGAAGACAGATATCAAAAGTAAGTAAATAAGGACACAGCTTTATTTCACTACAAGGCAGTAAGTACATTGTCGTATCAAAAGTTCAGTGCTAGTGATCTTGTACCAAATGTTGTTAAGGCAGCTCCTGGCTCCGGACCCTAGTCTCCCTGGCCCAGCTGCAAACACAGGCTCTGTGTGGCAGTTCTGAGACCAGATGCTTCAAAACCAAGGGGAATGCTAATCAAACACATAACATCTGAATTAAGGAACAGTCAGGCCAAACTCAAAACAAAACGTAGGACACCAATAACATAGATCTCCCAAAAAAAAAGAAGTGCAACCTTTATGAACCACAGTTAACAACAACAACAAAAATAACAAAATACAAATGCATAAGTCTCCCAAATAAGTTTTCCAATGTATTACAAAAGGAAAAAAAAAGTATACATATAAAAAATAAAAAAGTCTGAAATAACTAGTGCATAGTCAATTATCTAACACCAAGTCTCTGTCCAAAGCTCTACTGCTCCTCTCATACTAGCAGCATGTCTACAGGCTAAGACCATAGCAGCAAGACACATCTTTTCATTTGGCATTTACAAAATTAAATTACTGAATAAAAATATAATTTGTTTTATAAAACTATTTCATACAGTAATAATTTTTAAAGCAAGCCAACAAAAAACTCACCAAATGGTTTAGTACAGTAAGGGTGCCTCCATTGTTAGTAACCATAAATGAGCATTTACAATCTCGATTACTTGTCCCATGGTATTAAACCAACACCTATAGTAATGCATTGTGTTTAGTGATTGAGAAAAGTGAAATATTGGAGTACCATATTTTGGGCAAAATTTCAAAAATCTCATCATGAAAAAATGTTGGATCCTCTAAAATACAGGTAAATCGCTTTATGTTTAAAAACATCTGCACAAAGATATTAACAACTGGCTACAATTCATTACCTAATAATTTAGGTAAGACTGTTATTTATTTTTTTAAAAATCCTTTTAGTTGGGTGAAATCTGATAAGATTTCATCCACCTAAAATGCACTTGGTGCTGCTCTCAACTGTTGTACCACAACAAAAATAGGTTCTTCTCCCTTTCATGAAAAGTTTCATGTAGAGGAACGACATATCCTAAGTCGACGTGAAGTGTTCTGAAAACCATAATGCTTGTCTGGGAACATCTCACATGACCAGAGTCCGGGTTGAGAAGGCATTCCCATATTTCCGAGCCTGACCAGTGGCTGTCACCTGATCTTCCATCTTCCCACAGGATGCAGCTTCCCAGGCCCCGCTACAAGGCTGGTGGGAAAAAGAGGACAACAGCAAAGTCAGACAGGAAGCACATACATTAGCACACAAATGGAGTCCCAATCCTAGCACATCCGGCATAGGGGATTTTGACCTCCAAATAGCAAATGGTGGACACCAGGGAGCCTTGGTCAGATAAAACCTTATCTCTCTGACACTCAGGAATCCAGCAGAAATTGTTTTTACCTAAGAGAAAAAAAATCCACTCCAGTGTCTTAAGATATAGCCACATCTTCATACTTGAGTGCTTTTTGTCTATTAGGCGATTTTACAACAAAGACAAGAATAGGATAAAAATTCCCAAAGGTGAGCTCTATTTACTCATTAAGCAAACTTGTGATGCGTGAATTTTCTGAAAGAAGCAGCTCTTATAAGTGCTAGAATTGATCACCAATTACTAAACATGGCATATGTTTTTTGTTTGTTTTTTTAATAGCAATTAAGTAAATAATTTAAAATATCTGGCCGAAGCCAGTTTGGCTCAGTGGAAGAGCATCGGCCTGGTGACTGAAGGGTCCCGGGTTCGATTCTGGTCAAGGGCATGTACATTGGTTGCGGGCACATCCCCAGTGGGGGGTGTGTAGGAGGCAGCTGGTCAATGTTTCTCTCTCATCGATGTTTCTAACTCTCTATCTCTCTCAATTCCTCTGTGTAAAATCAATAAAATATATTTTAAAAAAATAAAATCTGTTTACCAGGATAGCTTATTATTTTAAATTAAATCTTTATTGTTGAAAGTATTACATATATTTCCTCCCCCCCCCCTCATTGACCCATTGATCCTTTCTAGCCCCCATCCTCCACTCCGGGCCTTCCTCACACTATTGTCTGTGTCAATGGGTCATGCATTATGCATACAAGTTCTTTGGTTGATCTCTTCCCACCCAGCCACTCCTGCTTTCCCTCCGAGATTCCAGCCTGTTCCATACTTCTATGTCTTTGAGTCTATTTTGTTCTTCAGTTTATTTTGTTCCTTAGATTCTAGAGATGAGTGAGATCATGTGATACTTATCTTTCTCTGACTGGCTTATTTCACTTAGTGTAATACTCTCTGGGTCTCTCCATGCTGCCTCCGGATAGCTTACTTCTCAGACACACTGGAAGATGGAATGGGCAGCATCCAGACCCAGGCCCAGTGCCTGGCACCTCTCACACATGACCTCATTTGCACAGCACTGCTACCCCAGGATGGGGGGTTCATTCTCTCCTGAGTCAGGCAGAAAACAGACACTCGGAGTGGAGATAATTTGCCAAGGCCACTGCCAGGGTAAGTGATGGCATGGCTTTGAGTCTAGGTCTGTCTTCCACACAGCCCCAGCTCCTGCCTTCCCTCCATGTGACTCCAAACCAAAAATAAGTACTCTCTGTGCCCAACTTAGTTCCCTAAAAGATCTGAGATGCTCACAAAATAAAGACAAGATAACAGAGTTTTAAAAGTAGATAAGGCAGGGTTACAGATAAATGTATAAAAATTAATAATTGCACTTCCCATGAAGCACAATGCACATGCTAAGTGTAAACCTCAATTTTGGTCCTGGGCTCTCCAGCAGTCAGTGGAAAGAGGGAAATAGAAACACAAACTCAAATCTAAACCAATGGTATTAAAAAAACACAACTATGCCTGGTATTGACATCAAAGAGATTTTTCTTTTCCACTGGACAGAAAAATAGGAAAAGAAAGGCCTCTGCTTTCTAGAGCCTGGTGTTCCCTTCAGGAAACAGCCAGAAGAACGTGTATAGAGTGTGGTGCCAGGCCCAGGGGAAGAGGTGATGGGACACCCAGGAACTGCCAGGGCAATACTCTAGGGCAGTGGTCGGCAAACTGTGGCTCACGAGCTACATGCGGCTCTTTGGCCCCTTGAGTGTGACTCTTCCACAAAATACCATGGCCTGGATGAGTCTATTTTGAAGAAGTGGCATTAAAAGAAGTTTAAATTTAGAAAATTTGGCTCTCAGAAGAAATTTCAATCATTGTTCTGTTGATATTTGGCTCTGTTGACTAATGAGTTTGCCTTAGGGCAATGATTTCCAATGGTTTCCATCTCATGGCACACATCAACTAGTTACTAAAATTCTGATTTGACAAAACAATAGATATACTTTTGATTCATTCACACTGTATGGCTATTGTGTCATTTGTTGTTGTTGTTATTGTTAATTCTCACTCAAGAGTACTTTTCCATTGATTTTTAGAGAATGGAAGAGAAGGGGAGAGACACAAATGGAGAAACATCCATGTGAGAAAGACACATCAACTGGTTGCCTCTTGCACATGCCTTGATCAGGGCCAGAGACTGAGTCCTTGACAGGAATTGAAACTGACACCCTTCAGTCCATGGGCCAGTACTCTATCCACTTAGCCAAACCAGCTAGGGCTGTGTCATTTTTTAAAAAAAATTTTAAATTGAAGGGAAAAGTGGCCAGTATCTAAATAGTCAGGTATTGCATATTTTAAAATTTCTGCAGCACACCAGTTGAAAATCACTGCTCTAGGGAAAGGGTAAGAATAGGCAGGATTTAGGTAGATTGGACAGAGAGGATTGTAACCCAAGTGGAGAAATATCATGAAGAATTCAGGGAGCTGAGACTTGTATGTTCTTTGTGGGAAGACGTAGGTAAGAGGAAGAGAGACAGTGCATTAAATGACCCTTCACAGGTGCTTATGACACACCTCCCATGCTTCCAAGTGTTTTACATGATCATCTCCTTTAATTCTCACACGACACACATGAAACACTGCACCCGTTTTACAGACCAGCAACTTAAAAGAGAAGAGAAAATTTAGGGAACATCCTCAAGGTCATCCAGCTAAGAAGCGATGAAGCAAGAATATGAACCCAGGCCCTAGTGAGTGTAAGAAGCTGCTTCCATTAGAGTTCTTATCAGTAGACAATTGTGGGGTCAGGCCAGAAAGGCCATGGAGTGTTGGGGTGTCAAAGTTATCAGACTTTAGCAAAGGAGTATGATAATTCTGACTGAAGGTGGTAATGGGGTTTCCTCACCTAGTGGCTGGGACAAAGTTTCAGTGACATAAGGTTTATAGCACCATGTGTCTAACTTGCAAACTTTCATAGGACACACACTGGGTTCTCTCACTCCTGCCTAATCTGCCACCCATCTCCATCACCACCAACAAAGGTACCGGCCAAGTTTACACATATTTACTCTGAAGGCTCAGAAGCTCCACATGTAACCTGAACAAGGTAGATTGTAATCACAATATTTTCCTGGAAGTGGATCACAAAGATGGCAGGACAAAGATGGGTTGAATTCTGCCACTGAGCCACTTTAATGTTTTCCTAAACAAAAATTATCAGGGTAGTTACAGCCTCCTATGAAATAATTCTGAATAGGTGATGTTTCTCTAGTTTCAAACAAATAGATAATTCTCATACAAATTTCATGTTTTAGTTACTTGAGTGTTAACATTTTCCAGTGCAGTATTGAAACACCAAATTGACATAAGAAACCCAATTAAAAAATAAAATGCAATGCTATAATTTGAAATCTTGAGCTCGCGTTTGTAGTCATTGTAGTAGTGTGGCATATAATAACTACCATTTGAGAGCAAACAGCTTAACTATGGTATTATGCAGTGCTTGATTTAGATCTTACAAAGCTAGTGTTTGAAGATGTAGCAAAATAAAATATCTTAATACACTAATACCCTATATGTAAATCTAAAATTACATAAAGATACACACAAAAATACAAATTTTGAGAGAATGCATTCAAAAAATGGAGGGAAAGTGAGAAGGGAGATAAAAGTGAGGAGCAGGGAAGAATGTTTCTGTTTTTCTTGGTTAAGAATTTTTCTACTTAACTGTGCTTCAATTAATACAGAATTGAATTCTAAAATACGATGTTGACACAGTCTTATGCTTGCTTTTACTATACCTCTTGGTTAAAGTCAAGCTCTGATCCTTGGCTATATGATTCTTAAGTAAATTCAGAATTCCTAAAATATGTTTGGGAGAATCTAATTCCAAGTATTACCAGTTTAATATATTTTCAACTTGAAATGCGTCTGTGTTCTTGCTGGATCTCCCACACACTGTGGCTTCATTCATATTTGGCTCTCCTCCAGGCCCAGATGTTTAAAATATGATCAGTATAAGGAAGGCACCATATATTTTAAAGTAGGATTTTGAGAAAAACTTTTCAGTCAACTTTTCTTAAGTCAAAATGGAATTTACCAAGAAATAAATCAAATGGACTGAAATATTCAAATTCCAGAAAGCAGAGCAATTCAGGGGCATAGAAGCCCTGAAGCTCAGGGCCTATGAAGGGCAAGATGACTGGGAACACCTGACTCTCCCAGTGCAAACACCAGGACGGAATACCACTGTGTACAAGAGCCACTGTGTACAGAACAATAAGCCGCAGGTACATGTGCGGGCACCTCCTTTTCTGCACCATGCGCGCACAAAGCAAACACTTGCTACAGAAATGAATGAATAACTCTGGTCAGAGTGGACACATTCCCACACCTACTGCGTGAAAAGAAGGGCAGAAGGCAGAGTACTTGGGTAAGAAAAGAAACACTCAGGTCCAACAGCCCAAATGGCAGCTGCCTCCTCTTGTGCTATTTCCTTCTCCCTCCTTAACTTGAAGCCCTGGGGCCCTGGGCCAACTTTTCATGCAGACAGAATAATCTTGACAAACAAGGATTAAATGTCTTTGTGCTGGAAGAAGATTTTTTAATGCTGTCATGTAGATTTTTTTTTGCATCCTCCTCATTCCCTCTCTTTAAATTTTAGTTTCATTTACAATAAAGAATTGGTAAGAATTACAGATTTGTGCACATGAATTCTTGTTAGGTTACTAACCTATGATAGTATTGCAGACATGTCATTCTACCCAGATTTATTTCAACATTAATAATCCTACCGCACATCCTCCTCTTCCTCTTGCCTGCAAGTCACCTTGCTTATCCTATAATCTACCTTTACTGCCCCTGGGCAGAAGTGAACTGTAAACAGACTGTCAGC